GGTTATCTGTGTCCGACAATTTGACCGTTATTTCTTTTATTGAATATTTAAACAACACATAAACACGATATGTGGGCATATCATTACTCCATTTATAACAGTATATCTGTGTGTGTACGTTGGTATTTTGATTTTTAGTGAGTTCTGGATAGGTTAAATAGGTAAAAATATTGCAATTTAAAAAAGCTCGGTTAAACATTAAAATAGCTCAATCCAGTGCCTACTAACTCTTAACATTAAAAGCTAACAACTGCACAAAATTGATTTTGTTGAACTCGAGTCTGTAATTGCTGTAGGTTTTTAAGCCGCATACAAAACTCTAACGATTAACGAAGAGCCGCGTTCTAAAAGAGCGCCGAGGCAAAATTATAAAGCGTTAAAACTGTAAAAGTTATCGTAATTCCTAGTTAAGTCACCATGCAAATATTCAAAAATAATTTTACAAGAAAACTGACCACACCTCGTAAAATAGTCAAAGTTTAAGCACTTTTTTTTTAATAGAAAAAAATGTATAGAGGCTGTATAATTAACTCTGATTTTTAAAAAACTTCTTAAAAATATTAAATACATAATAAATAATATGCAATTAATTAGATCTTAATTACAATTCCTCTAGTATCGCCAAAGGTGTAGATATATAACTATGGTCTATAGATGTAGCTGTTGATAGTCTTAAATAACATTTTGTTTGGTTCATGGACATGACTCTAACGTGGAAGGACGAATACTGGGAACCATAGAAACTATAATTTRAAACCTGTTGAAAACAATCGCCGAGAAGCAGAGAGACACAGTCATACGCTTTTCTGAAAATAATTTTATCAATAAATAATATTTCACGCATACAGTGTACACTGTACATGCAGACTATCCCAATAATAACATTTGTGTTTGGTTAGAATTTATACTGATCTGAGTTCACTTGCAAGGACTTTTTTTATTTATTTTTATAATTATTCTTTATATACTATAATATTATGTTTTATATACTTATTTTATTTTCATAAATAAAAACCATTTTTAAGGTTATACAYGTTTGAGAAACTCAAATTCGGGGTATCGTCTTGTTGGTTTTGACATTATTAAAATAATATATTCATAGAAATATTTTCGTAACAGATGATAGGGTTTTAGACAAGTTTGGCAGAAGTAGACGAACCAGACGTTTACAACCCATTATTTGTTACTGTCATTTAGTACTTACTTAATGTATATTAATAAATTGTGATAAATTTTATTTAATGAAACATCAAACATAATTTTTAGTTTTCTTTTCTTTTTGACAATGTTTATAAATTTTGATTATTTCAACATTTCAATAATACATGAGCATAATAGTATATAAGGAACCTATCTAAAAAATAATATTTGAACGTCACCGTTGTACCTACGTCACATATTATGTATAATATAATATAATATTGTATACGAATACAATTTMATACGCRACATCACTACGTCAGCCTTTACACGGGCGCTTATCGCATTCGAGTCCGTTTTTGATTTATAACGAAATTCGTTTCCGGTGACTTGGATGATTTGATTTTTTTTTCTTCGTGTATTCCATCCAACACCATTCTCGTCCCCGCATCGTCGCCGCCCACAACACCTGATATCGTGAACAGAGATATAGACCTATAGCCATAACAATAATAATGCGAGTGAGAGAGAGATATACAAATAATRTTATGTATATATTTAAAGATAGGGAGGGAGAARGGAGTGAGAGAGATCAATCCACCTCGGCGGGACCGGCTAATAATCTTGGCCCGCGCAACACGCGATAAGATCGTATTAATATAATAAATGATCGTTTAAACATTAAACTWAATATAATATATACACACATACATCCGTTTTCGATATCTGGAAGTCCATCGTGTATACCACACACGAACATTATGACCAGACATTTCTGCCCCAATCACATAGGAACCTAATAATAGTAATAATAATAATTTTATT